AGAAAGACTTCAGGAAAGATTTTAATCAAAATTTAATAACAGTAAGTCTTGGTTGTAATGTTTTGCATAATTTTATTTTTTAATTTAAATTTACTTTTCTATTTTTCAAAATTTTTCTTAAACAGTAGATATTACTTTTTCAAAGTAAAATAATATTGAAATACAAATTAACTTTAAAAATTAACCACGTTATAGTTTTGTCTCATTGTTTGCATGTTTCAATGAACCTCTTCAACTGCCTACACAGAATATTTATTTGGAAAATATATGGTAAACAATTTACTCAGTCTGTCTCTTTAAATTGATTAACTTTCTTTGGGCAAAAAGCATCTAAATAAAACAAAGAACTGTATAGAATATATAACAGTAATGCTTAGTCCATCAGTTAGATGGAAACATTTCCCAGCTCTCACCCCATGTGAGACCTGAACAGGAGCTCAGCGTGGGGGTGTTAGGAGATTCCATCTTCCTGAAGAGAAGAAAAATAACATCAGAAAGTGCCAAAATCTCTCTCTATCTCGAAATCTTCCCCTTTTTGGGTTCAGAAATGGAGATTCATAGTAGGCAATGAAAGAGGGCCTCTGGCTTCTACTTAAGCTTTTTCCATTTGTTACTCATCAGGACGTCCTTATTTAAACTTTTTTTGGAGCTTCGCTTCTTTAAAATCATGTATGTGTTATTATCACTGTCATTTTAAGTGATGAGAAATCCACAACTTAGAACATTAGAAACTGGCTCAAGATTACATTGTTGGTGTAGGAGAAATAAACCCTACATCTGGCCAAAGTTATTGGTTTAAACAGCTGCACTTTACTGCCATCTTGTGGGCAAATAGGGTTGGTTACAAGTCCTAGAAGAGTTCACCGTGGTTGAAGTTGGGCTTTCAGGAGCGCTTGGAGCAGATGGATCAAGTGTCTTCTTATAAGTCATACTAAGATGTTCGCATCATAACTCACAAAGGAGAGCACTATCAGATTACTTAAACAGATCATATTTTAATAATACTACAATGGAGACAAGATTATGTTTGAAAGAATAGAATGGAGGCTGAGGTAACAATTAAGAAGAATAATAACATTAAAGCATATTGAAAACTTGGATTAAATCCATGTTAATGAGTTTAATTTATATTTAAGATAAAGTAAGAACTTTATATAGAGGGAAATTATTGAAATTAATTTTGAACAAAAAAGGACTCCGAGAATAGTGACATTGACTTTCATTAAATCAAAACATGCAGAAGCACATGTAGAAGGAAGACAGGACTTATGTTTGCAGATTGATTTTAAAGATACTGTGAGCCAATGAAATTAAAGTGTCTGGTACCTGATACTACAAGGTAGACACGGTCTCATCATGGGGACACGTGAGTTATACATATACAGGCAATAGAGTAATTACAATCATGAGTGGGATTCTCAAACAGAGAAAGTAGGATGAGGGAAGAGAAGATGGCAATACAAAAACCTGTGACTGACCAATAATTAGAAAATAAAAAATAAGGGGAACCAGACAGAGGAATTGCAAAATTCAAAGCACCTTCCAAAGAGGGAGGGAGAGAGAGAGAGATGGAATAAGGGAGAGAGGAAGAGAAAGATAGAGAGAAAAGGAGAAAGAGACAGAGTGAGTTAAAGAGCACATAGGTGACAGCTGACAGAGCCCAGAACACTCAGAAGAAAGCTCCTTTTACGCTGGCTGTGGTAGGATATGTGTAGAAATGATCAGCTTTTAGGGATCACTCTGAAAGGTGGGAAGTCTCGCATCTAGATAAATAGGCTAACCTATTTTCTTCTTAGCAAATGTATGCTATCAAGTGACAGACAAAAATATTAGTATGAAAGTCCTTTTTACTGTTGTGACTAGCAAATTTAAGTAACTATTATCTACTAAAAATTGTATTATTACAGAGCACAAGTCTTATCATCTGGAATTCTTAGAAAGTTAGAAGAATAACATTGTAATCTAGCCTAGACTTTAGCAGGTACTAGGGGAAACCATGACTATCAGTGTCTCTCGGTATTCAGGGAAAGTTGGTTCCAGGATCCCCTGCTGATCCCAAAATCTACAGATGCTCAAGTCCCTTATGTGAAATGCCATGTATTTGCATATAAACTACTCACATCATCCTGTGCATTTTAAAACATCTCTAGATTACGTATAACACCTAACACAAGGTAAGTACCATGTAAATAGTTGTTATACTGCATTATTTAGGGAAATAATGACAAGAAAATATTATCTATACGTGTTCAGTACAGAGACAACCATTGTAGGCCCAACTACATACTGTATTCATCAGCAACAATGTAACATTTAAAAAACACTTTTGATCTGTGGTTGGTTGAATCATGAGTAATTATTCAACTACTACTGGGATACCTGGGGATAGAGAGGGCCGGCCTGTGCACTGACAGAATACACATAAAGCTGCCTTTTACTTTCAGATAATATGGAGTAAGAGAAACCAGATATACCTCCTACCTGAAAAAACAACAAAAATCAGATAAAAATATATAAAGCCATGGCACTAGATATCAGGCAATGAAAGACTGATGAGTAATTAGAGATAAATATGGTGAGATCTATGATTGGCCTTGGTTTCTGGGTTGAGAGGGATTTTAGAAACAGGAAAGAGGAATTCAGATGAAGTGGGTGGTTTTTCTGAATTGAAGAGAGTGCTCAGAGGAGAGAGAGCAAAGTGGCTCTAGTCCACAGGATGACAGCACTAGAGAGCTGGACAGAAAGCTCCACAGTTTACAGATCAGTGCTTGTGCATGAGGAAGCTACCCAAAGCAAGAACCACAGGAGAGGATCTGACATGACAGAGCCCTGGTCTCATATAAAACTGGTATCCTATCAGCCAGACTAGAAAACACTATAATTCATGGAGTACTAGGTAAGGTATTCAGAGGGTCTCGCCTCAGTCATGAGGAATAATTGGCCCACTTGGTGAATACCACACCGGTCTGACCTGACAAGCCTTAAAAGCAGTCCTCCAGGTGTGGTTCTTAATAACTGTGAGTTTGCTGTCCTTTCACTGTTCATCTTTTTTAATCTTCTTTTTCTTAGATAAATTCCTTTAACATTTCATATAATAAGGGCTTGGTGATGATGAACTCCTTGAATTTGATCTTATCTGAGAAGTACTTTATCTGTCCTTCCATTCTACACCTAAAACAAAAGCAAACTAAGAGAACAGCTAGATCCGGAGCAGAACCATAGAAATGAAGATTACATGGAGGGTTAGCAACAGGGGAGTGGGAGAAGGAGAAGGGGGGAGAAGGTACAGAAAATAAGTAGCATAGATGGTAGGTAGAAAATAGATATGGGGGAGGGCAAGAATAGTAGGGGAAATATAGAATCTAAAGAACTCGAACAGAAGCAATAAAAAGCTAATATAGTCATCCAAAAAAAAGAACTTGAGACACATGGTCATAAACTAAAGGGGGGAATGGTGGGGGAGGGGGGTGCAGGGTGAAGGGGAATGAAGGGGGGAAATAGAACAACTATAATGGCATAATCAATAAAATATATTTTTAAAAAGATAAATGAATAAAATCTTTAAAAAAAAACAGTCCTTCAGAGGATCAGACCATTTCCATGTAATTGGCTGTGTCTCAGAACAAAGCTTGAGAATTTCTAGAAATACAAAACTATTCAGAACCAAACTAGATAAAATTCATACTGTCTGGTATCCCAAGATATGATCCATAATGAGAAGAAAATCAAACAACTCAACCCAACCTAGAATAGACAGATATTAAAATTAGCAGATCAAGTCATAAAATAATTATTAAAACTATATTCTAGTTATAACTTTTTTAAAGTCAGAAATATGGAAGATACTAATCAAACTTGTAGAGATGAAATTAAAAGGTTCGCAGTGAAAAAAAATCTACCGAATGACATTGATGGCAGATTAATTATTGCAGAAGAAAGGATTTGTAATTAGGAAGTCCAAGCCCTCATGGTGGACAGCAGGCCTCCCTGGTATTGTTGGGGTTCCTTCTGGACCAGGACTTGGAGAGAGGACATGCTGTAAAGAGAGGGAATATTTAATTTTCCCCAGAGTTTTTGCTTTTTTTATTTTAAAGATGACAGACTAAAGGGTGTTTAATTTTTAGTGGAACCATGTGTCCACCATGTTATTGGCATGATAACAAAGGCCAAAGAGCTAACAGGACATCTGAAGTCTCCGACTACAGACCTACAGGACATGGAGAAGCAGAGGAGGCTGTTTCCCAAGCCAGCACAGAGCCAGCTGCTGAGGGGAAAAGAGCATGTTAGCATATATTGATTGTCCATATTAGAAAACAGAAACACACTCACATACATGTAACCCAAAGAAGAACATGTACTTATGTTTCAGAGGTTAAAATTTGTCCACAGAATTGAAAAGACTGAGGCCCAGAGGGACATTCATGGATACCATCGATACAGGCCTCCTGATGTGGAGAAGAGCTGAGCCAACGAAGATGCTGGGCTGCGATGATCTGAGGCAGACATGCATAAATGCTTCTGTCTCAGGGCCAAGTCTAAAAGTGAGGTTGTTTAGTGAGAAGGTGGCAGAAGACATGGCCAGGAATTGTACAGTGCTCCAGAGTTCCTATTAGTTGGTTTTTGAAATGCCAAAGAAATATAGAAGAAAATTCTGTCATGTTTCTTGGAAGACACCTGGAGCCTGTACAGAGGAGAACCCACTGTTTACAGTACCAGAGAACTGATTAATCCCAGTGTCTTGGATCCTGAGCTCAAATGCTTAATTTGTTCTGCTTCTGAAACTTGAGACACAGATATAAAACCCAAGTGAAATCAGACTTTCATAAAAGTTTATTAGAGAGAATATGGAAGGCAGAGAGGGAAGAGGCCTAAAGAAGGGAGCTTCAGCTATCTGATACAAACTTCAAAGGGCCAGCTCTCTGTCACTAAGGATGCATGCGAGGAGGACAGCTGGGCTGCAAGAGGAGGAGACCTCTCCTTTCTCATCCATGTCTGCTTGGCTAGCATGCTCCATCATGTAGAAACCTAACTTTCCCATGAGATTTCCTAAGGAAAGAGTAAGAATAAATATTTAATTAAACAATAGAACATCAGAGCTACCAATATACTTGAGAATTATCTATGGTCTGTATTTTATACTTGAGGAAACTTAGAGCCAGAACAAAATGGGAATGAACTAAAGACAAAAGCCAGGTTATTAGATTCCCTACCTAGTTTTCCCTTCATGATCCTAAGATAACACTGAAGATATTATGACCTATGCTACAATCTCTTTGAAAATAGGCTCCAGAGTCTCTCCTGAGCTTGTGATATAGGAGGCATGTTAATCCTTATCTTATCTGTCAAATACTCTCACATTTCAGCTAAATTACTTATTAGTGGGGATGACCTGGGTTTTACACACTCCTGTCATTACTCCTCGCACAAAATTACAAAATAATCGTTGGGAAAAGGGCTTCAGTCTGAAGCCATGGGGGTAATTTTTCTCCCTGTGAACTGTACTGATTTCTACAAAGATCTAACTTGAAGCCACTTTTCTGTATGATCTGTGTATCTGATTACTTATGTCAAAAAAAACTTCAGTTTCAAGCACATTCTGATACAGAGGTTGAAGAGAGCTGGGAAGAGTCAAAATCACAGTTTGTCTTAAAATCAAAGAATTTTAGGACTTGAAGGGCATTTGAAGCTCAAGTGAAAATCCATCATCTGGCATTGGGGAAAGCAAAAGCTCAGAGAGAAGAAAGGCTTCTACAGGCACCACTGGGCACAATGAGTGCACTTTGTACCTTGATGGACTTGGTATGACCACAGGCTCTTTTCATGGGGGGGGGTGCTGATCATTATCTGTGGAAGCTGGAACCAATTCTTGGCCTCAAGGCTGATGTCCTTGGTAGAGGAGGTAGATATCAATTACTACGGGCTGAGCTCCTTTGCTCTTCTCTTCCCACCCCTTCCCCTGCCCCCAGATAGCACTCACAGGCTGTCAATGCACAAGGTACAGGGATTGTCCTAAGTCACCATATTGGTGCCACAGATCGGCTGATAGATACCAATACAGGGGTTCACTGTTACTCTGAACAAGCTGAAGTCTTCTTTCCTATATGGACATTTCACCTGAAATTGAGTTGGAAAGAATGATGTGATGAGAATCACACTCATGGCCAGGTAGCTACCCTCTGGACTTTATTAGGAAATTCTAAACACAGCCAAGATTCTATCCAAGTCTCCCAGAAAGCTCTCACAGCTCCCCCCTCCACAAAGCAATGGACCCTACATATATCCCTCCGATAGCAACAGGAAATCTCCTGACAGTGACAGAGAACAGAGGCCTGCTATGCTAGAGAGGGAAAAGGAAGAGTGGATAAGTAAAATTTATCTGGGTAATTTAGCTTCTCTCTCAATCTCCTTTGTTCCCAGACTATCAGATCTGGGAACGTATTTTTAGAGATTCTCTGTGCCAACTCTGCTAAAGGAACTGAAGCCTGTAATTGGAAAAGATGCTTCACTGAAATCCATATGCCTTGACTTCAAATAGTTATTGTGGGGGGGACTTTGCCTGCAAGTCTCTCTGTCTGCCACAGATGAAAGTAATACTATCAAGACATAATCTTCTTGGGGAGGAGAGGTGGCCAGTTTCTCAGGGGAAAAAGACCACGAGCATAGAAACTCTTTTGAGCTTAGAGAAACTATTTGAGCTTAGAAACTCTTTTTCCTTCTTTCCTTTCCACCATCTCCACCCCGGCCGGACCACTGACATCTGCTTCCTGTATCTGTCACCTCCACTCATTCCTCCACTCATTCCTGTCAACTCATTCCTCCACTTCCTCTTTTCCCCATGTCCTCTAGTTTCTGTAATTTAAACATCAATTGAATCATTTTATTGTGTTGAGTATGATCTTTTAATTGTACCTCATTTCACATTTTAAAACACTGTTCTTAGTATGGGATAGAAGACCCCATGTGATGTGGACTCCCCCAACACATTCAACCTTGCCTTATACTGGCAAGGTCATTTGCCTTTTTAGTTTGCTCCACCCCCCGCCCTGAATGCTCCATGCTTCCTCCATCTAGGGGCTTATGGTTTGTCATGGCCACACCCCCTCAAACCTACTCTTTTTTCTCTGAATCTAAACTCATTTTACTTTAAGAACTCAGGTTATAACCTATTGTCTCAGAGATACTTCTTAAAATGAAATCCCAACCCTTCATTCTTTCTTTTTATACCTCTAATCAGCGTATTATAAAGCATTTGTGTAATGATTTCACTAATTCCACACTCACAAAAGATTCTAAGTCCATAATGGCAAGGCCTGTTTCTGATTAGACTAACACTGTGTATCCAGCACATATATTGACTCTTCACTGCATAAATATTTGTAACCTGAATGAAATATAAAACAGCTTAATATAGAGTAAGGAAAGAAAAAAGCAAGATCATCTAGCATCATTGTCTATAAACATAGCTTCTTTTTTTTTCTGAATGAGCATACTCACTGGGGGAGGGGCTCACCTCCTGTTGTGAGAGTAGCATCTGCTGCACCCTTCCCATTCTGTGCCCTGTCATCCAAGTGTTCAGTCAGTGACTCAAGCAGGTAGTCTTCCTCACCACTCTCCACCTGGGTGACTCCTTGAGGTCCCAGCTGAGATGTCCCCATACAAGAGAGGCCATCACAAATCACATTGTTTATAGTAGTATCTCTACTCCTAATAGGTATCTGATGTGTGCACCGGCTTACAGTGCCTGGCTCGCAGTGCCCGTGGATGAGACATGAGACAAATTCACATGGACTAGTGAGTCCTGTGGGAGAAAAGGGACAGCACGGCTACTCCCTCAATTGGAGAGCACCTCAGAGCGGCCTGGCAACTCTCTCAAGGGGAGAGCACCCCGACCCTTGCCTAAACAGGCTTTTATTGTTTTTATTTTTACACAGGAGTTCGAGTACAACTTATTAATCATTGTCAGACAGTAAACAGTAGATAGCATACAAAGAACTGTTAGGGCTTCATCTAAGTCAGGGTCTATCAGCTAAAAGGCTATAAAACTTTGGGAAAACAAACTCATATTCTACCCAGGCCTTATCATTTAACTAAGAGCATTTTTAGCAAAGCAGGCTTCACAGGATTTTACATATCCTTTCTGAGGCCTGATCACCCAGGGAGCCCACCATTCCCAGCACAGGGCTGTACCACCCTCTGTCATTGTTCCAGGCTTAAGTCAGGCAGAGGAGGCAGATAGCCAAGGAATTCTCGGAGACTTCTTGCAGACAGACTGAGGACTCAGGCTTCATCAAAGCTGAGGAGCGAGGGTCCATTACCCCCTTTCTCCATAGCCCCCCAAGTTCTTCCCTGGGGCCTCCACGTGATCATGTTTGTCTTAGGGGGTTCCCCTCTTGGGGAATCTTACCTATCATTGGCTAACTGATTAAGCATTGGAGGCCAGTTAGGGGAAAAGGAGAAGCAGCGCTCCTGCCAGGGAGATAAGCTTTGTCTCCTTAGTGGCTTATGGTCTGAAGGTTGCTCACTCAGCCTTAGCCATGGAGGGGTGGGTTACAGCTCTTGAAACCAGGCAGGGCAGTTCCCAACAGCTATTCTCTATCATTCTCTCCTACTTCTTTTATGTGTAGAATTTAGTACAAATAACAATTGTCCCTTTCCTTTTTTTCTGGCTCTTTGTAAGCTTCATGAGAGAAGGAAATATGTCTGTTTTCCTCACTGTTGCATAGCACAGAATGGAAGTAAATATTTCCAAAAGAAAATAAGAATGAGTAAGTTTCATTTAGGGGTTGATGGGCAAGGGGAGAGCTGCTTCTGCAGGCAACTTTGGAGAGGAAACTGCTAGGACTAAAGTCTGAGACCAGAGGATGATCTTGGATGTGTTCTGCAAAGTCTTGCTGGAGCTCCAGCCTCTCGCATCTTCTATACTCTGATCTAGGGGTCCCTTGATGGCCAAGTTCCCCTTAAAAGGCCTTTCTCACCAGTCAGCTCATAATTGACTTTTTTAAAAAAGTAAAACTCAATATTTACAAATGAGACAAAAATTTTAAATGGCAAAAATTCCTAAAGTGGAAGAGTTTTTGCAGTTTAATTTACAAATCTACAATTAAAAAATAGTAATCTGACTTCTGGTCAGGATGGAGGCGCAGGTAGAAACACTGTGCCTCCTCACACAACCAAGTTTAAAGACAACAAAGTTTTAGTAACAAAAAAGCAACCAAAACAGAAAATTGAACTGCATGGAAGTCCAACAACAACGAACCTTTCAGCCAGAATGGTAAGAGGGGTGGAGTCAGTGGTGTTGGAGCAGCGTCATGCTGGAAAAAGTGGCCAGACTGACCCAGGCACACAGGCAGCGGTTGGCAGATCCCAGGTGTAGGGTGGCAACAGTTCAGATAAACCAGGTGAAGGAGTGAGCAGTGAGATAGACGGCATAGGCTAGGGCCCAATTGACAGGAATTAAAGCCTAAAACCACCAATTGGAAAAACTTTAGGGGTCAAGGTGCCGGGAGAAGCTCACAGGCTCACAGAGAGTTTGTTGGAGAGACCCACAGGGTCCTGGAGGGTGCACAAGCCCATACACCTGGGAGTTAGCACCAGGGGGGGCCTGGTTTGCTTTTGGGAAGCAGCAGAGGGGACGGAAATCTGAGAGAAAATGGAACAAAGGCCATTGCCCCTCTCTGACCCCACCCCCACATACAGCGTCACAACCCAGCTACTGGGTCGCCCCGCCCTGGTGAACATCTAATGCTCCGCCCCTCATATGTAACAAGTGCAACCTGACCAAAACATTATGGCTCAAGAAGAACAGCTCAAATCCCCAGAGCCAATACTTCTAAGTGACCAAGAGATAGCCAACCTATCAGATGCACAGTTCGAAACACTGGTGATCAGGATGCTCACAGAACTGGTTGATTTTAGTCACAAATTAGAGAAACAAATGAAGGCTAAACTAATTGAAATGAAGGGAAATGCACAGGAAACCAATAGTGATGAAAAGAAAACTGGGAATAAAATCAATCGAGTGGACCAGAAGAAAGGAAAAAAAATGACCAAACAGAAAAGAATGGAAAAACAAGAAATTCAAACAAATGAGGAGAGGCTTAGGAACCTCCAGGACATCTTTAAATGTTCCAACATCTGAATTATAGGGGTGCCAGAAGAGGAACAGGAACAGCCACAAGTGGAAAACTTATTTGAACAAATAATAAAAGAGGACTTTCCCAATCTGGCAAAGGCAATAGACTTCCAGGAAGTCCAAGAAGCTCAGAGAGTTCCAAAGAAGTTGGACCCAAGAAGGAACACACCAAGGCACATCATCATTACATTAACCAAGATTAAAATGAAGGACAGAATCCTAGAAGCAGCAAGAGATAAGGGGACAGTCACCTACAAAGGAGTTCCCATCAGACTGTCAGCTGATTTCTCAAAAGAGACCTTACAGGAAAGAAGGGGCTGGAAAGAGGTATTCCAAGTCATGAAAGGCAAGGACCTGCATCCAAGATTGCTCTATCCAGCAAAGCTTTCATTTAGAATGGAAGGGTAGATAAAGTGCTTCTCAGATAAGCTCAAATTCAAGGAGTTCATCATCACCAAGCCCTTATTATATGAAATATTAAAGGGACTTATCTAAGAAAAAGAAGATAGAAAAGATGAACAGTGAAAAGAAAACAAACTCACAGTTATTAACAACCACACCTAAAACAAAAGTAATCTAAGAGGACAGTTAGATCAGGAGTGGAAACATAGAAATGGAGATCACATGAAGGGTTAGCAACAGGGGAGTGGGAGGAGGAGAAGGGGGGAGAAGGTACAGAAAATAAGTAGCATAGATAGTAGGTAGAAAATAGACAGGGGGAGGGCAAGAATAGTAGGGGAAATGTAGAATCTAAAGAACTTGTGACACATGGACATAAATTAAAGGGGGGAAATGGGGGAGGGGTGTGCAGGGTGGAGGGGGATGAATGGGGGGAAATGGGACAACTGTAATGGCATAATCAATAAAATATATTAAAAAAATAGTAATTCCTCATCACCCTTTTCCCTCACTTATCAATTGTTTATTTGTTTCACAATGTATTTAACGCTCAGAAGAGACTGCAAACACGAGCTGAGGCTCTCTCTTCAGGGATTTTGTGTTCCTTCACATTTTCCTTAGTCCATGTCTGAGATGTTTCCTGTTCACAACTCACAGAGACATTCTTGCATGTCTCGGAGCATTTGGGAAAATGCCCTCCCCCAAACTGAACTCTTTGAGAGCAAACACTGTGTTAGGCCCTAGTGTGTGGACTCTTAAGACCCTGCCCTGCCCCTGGCCATCATTCAGTGCTCATAAATAGTTCCCAAGTGCCGAGTAGGGTCTGGGATGTACCTATGGCCACAGCTCAGCTGGGTCCCCAGTTTGAAACACTTTACTCTGGGCTCCTATACCTGTAGGGTACCTGTCACATTCATATGATTGGTCTTCGAAGAATACTGCAGATGATCTTGCTGTAGTAAGGCTCTAAAATAGCAATTCCAAAGAAAACTCTGATTGACCTAGTGGAACATTACCTTAAACTGTCCACGTGGTGGCCACCATTGTTGAGGGCCTGAAACTAAAACATAACTGAAGATAGTTACAGAATCTAATGGCCGATAAATCATAGCCTAATATTTTCACTGATTAATAATTCTTAATCTGGAATAAAAGATTTCTAAATCATTACCAAGAAGACTTGCAATCATTAAAACATTTTTTCATTTTTCCATGTATTCACTTATTTTTTTCAATATGCAAAAAACCCTTCTTCTGATAGATAATCAGCAGAGGACTGTGGAGATACATCTGTGGTCTCTTGACCCTCCAGTCCAGTATATCAAATTACTTTCTTAAGAACTGTATTTAACTAAGCTTAAGCAGACTCAGAACTGGTAGCCCATATATGAAAGAAATTCAGAAAGGCTAGAACTGTCAAGAGACTTTTTAGCCCAATCTCCCTATTCACAGAGAGAGGAAAGAGCCTTGCTTAAGAAGTGCCCAGAAATTCATGGCAGATATGTGAAAAATCAAGCCCTGCAGTCCTTGAGGCTAGGAGACATTATGACTTTCTACATGACTCTTCTCTAAAAGAAGATGCAAAAGATGACAATCCATTCAAATACATGGCAAAGTATTTTAAAAAGTTCTGACCTTCTGAGATGCGCTGTGGTGTAGGCAAGTAGCCGACCACTTTCCTATGTCTCCTCACTGTATCAGCTAAGCTGCTTGGTCCCCATGAATTAAGTCTCATAATCTGCATTAATAGATGAAAAAACCAAGGCCCCTGCCCACTGGCCCAGAGCTTTTTAACTTTTTTACCACACCCCATTGCCTCTCTCTCTCTAGCTATAGATATATATTGTAGAAATAGTAAAATAGCACACTTAAATAAATAAATAAGAATGTCAAAGCATCCTATTTCAGATCACAATGCTAGAGCCCACAAATCCACCCTGCATGACTGCCGGAACCAGCCAAATCGCTCACCAGATGGTGGCATCCAAGGGATCAGGATGAAGAACAAAAATGAGCAGAGTACTGGGAACAATGTAGCCATTTGTCCTCCTGGTGAGTTCTTAAAATGATGCTCTGAGGTACCGTCCCAGGACATTGCCCTTTAGCGCAATCACCAAAGCAGAGATCATCAGAATATGAAGACCACCTTTGAAGTGGAGACCCCTCTCTAGTCTGCCCATTGTGAATTCAGCATACTGCACTTGGAATGCCTTATTCCACCCTTTCCACAGAGCAAACACCCAGGTCAGTCATAAATAGAAGTGGAGACCTCAGTGACAGATCTGTGACTACTCAGAAGACAAAAGGAAATCAGCAGCCACCCTTTGGGCATAATTGTATTATTTTAGTGTGTAGGTATTTTAGGTTTCTGTCTTGAAAAGGCAGCTTTTTACTGGAAGACTCACCCAATCCTTTCTTTCTTTCTTTCTTTCTTTCTTTCTTTCTTTCTTTCTTTCTTTCTTTCTTTCTTTCTTTCTTTCTTTCTTTCTTTCTTTCTTTCTTTCTTTCTTCCTTCCTTCCTTCCTTCCTTCCTTCCTTCCTTCCTTCCTTCCTTCCTTTATTTTTTTTAGGAATCTACAGAGAATATAATGAGGCTACTTGACACTTCTAGACAAGAGCGTCTCAACTAAGGAAGTGAGTCTGTACTTGTTCATGAAACAGAGACTATCTCTTTGGATTAATACAGAGATTTCTAATAGTATTCCAGGGATACTCAGTTATGCTAGGAATCTTCTTACTGGGAATGCTAGACTCTCTTGGGGTGTTCTCAGAAAGTCCGTGGGGAGAAAAACCATTCCATACTACTTCACAGGAGCCCCAAAGCCATTTTCACCCAGACACAGAAAGGGAGACAGACATCAGTGAACAAATCTTCTGGTGGGATCATCTTCCCTGCAGCAGCCTCTCCAACCGTGGAGAACAGCGTATGCAGGTCTCAGAGTCAGATCTAGGACCACATTGAACTCTCCTGTCTCCCTAATCTTCCCTGTGTCCTTTAGGCCTTTACCTCTGCTCTGTAGCATATGGCAACAGGGAATTTACATCAGATTTTGCTGCTATGCTGAAATGTCTCCTCAGCACTACACTCCCCAGGATAGTTGGAGGTCCCTGGCACAACATCCAGAGCTGCCCACCCTGCCTGCTCCTGAGACAATGTAGGAAATCATGTTTTTGTTAGGTACACCCCCATCTCCTCCTGACATCTTCCCTGGACTCTTTTGGGAATGGAGCAGCAACAGTGGAAGATCCAACTGCATTAACACACGACCCCAGGTGCCCACTCCCCCTCTCGCATATGCCCCAGTTGAGGCACCTCAGAAAGAAATGAAAGGGAGAGGTGACATGCTTTTGTGGCTGGTGACTCTCATTTAAGGAGCACCTGTTAGGACTTTGGGAGAGGACAGAGTAGCTGCTTGGGAGGAGAGCACTGAGGCATTGTGTGCTGGACAGAGTGGACCTTGGGAGGCTCAACATTCAGATTCTGTCCCCCCAGCCTCATCAGGAGGCACTGGGGAAGAAAGCACTGGACTACCTGGAAGACTTGTAGTGCACGGAGTAGCCTGTGGTGAGCATTCCAAAGAGGCAACAGGCATGAGGAGACATACCACAGCAGGTAAGAGCACAGCAGAAAAAGCATAGCATTTTGTGCAGTGATAATTAGTACCTTGGGCCAGAATGCAAAATGTGAAAACAGCTAAGAAAGAGAGGAGGTCTCAGTGATGGGTGAAGTGATGAATGCCTTTGGCAGTGGGTCCAGCTTTGTCCCTATATCAGTCTAGAGCCTTTGCAGCTGTGCATCAGGGAACAGATGTTATGATAGCTGACTTCCCCCTGGTATCTGCACTTCCTGCCTCTCTCTTCCTTTCTGTGAAGAACAGTGGTTCTTACACCAAGAAAGTGCATGTTAACTTAAAAAATAGAAAATAACAAAAGAAACATGAAGATGTGAAATATCAAAGCCCAGAGACAACTGTTAAGCATATATTGAATAATATAATTCCAGTTGAAAAGCAATATATATATATATATATATATATATATATATATGCACATTCTCACAATCACATGCATGTGTTCTTATTGTCATATTCAATCACATTTTTGTAGTACACATTGTTTTCTGCTTTTTATACTTAGAAATGTACTATGATGTTTTCTTGATCTTTAATATTAAACATGAATTTAGAAGCCTCATACCATGTTTCATCACACATATGGATTATATTAATATTCTTCCATTGTTGCTCAGTTAGGTTAATTCCAATTTTATTATTATTAACAATGCTGGAGTCAATAAATTTTAATTTATCTCAGTTACTTTATCTCTTATTATTTCACTTTAATAAGTGTCTAAAACCAAGCCTCTTAAAAACTTCCAGAAAAAGTCACCTAGAATATGAAAGAGGTGTTTTTTCATGCAGTTTGTGGGCTCTGTGCTTGCAGTGCAACATGGAACATTTTGAACATACCCTATCACTTTCTAAATGAATTACTCCCCTGCACCCCCAGTCAGAGAGGCAGAGGCACCCATTGTTTAGAAAGGATCCTGTACAGAATAAAAACAGATAATCTTGTCAACTTGGAAAGTATTTTCTTTTTTCTCTGGATAGAATTATCCTACTTGCACAATAGGGTAAACAAACCTTCCTTAAGGGTCTCTTTTGTGGTTTAATTAAGCTAACATTTAATATTTTTATTGATTTTAGAGAAAGAGAAAGAGGAGGGGCAGAGAGAGAGAGACATTGATTCATTGTTTCACTTACTGATGCATTCATCGGTTTCTTGTACGTGCCCTAATTGGGGATCAGACCCACAATCTTGGTGTGTCAGGACAATACTCCAACCAACTGAACTCCCTGGTCAGGGCTCATGTTTAAACAGCTTGGAAAACTGCCCAACCCAGATTACTCACCAATGAATGCTATTTATTTGGGGTCTTTCTTTGCCACAGGAACTGACATGGGCCTTGTTGGCTCAGAGCCCCAGATTCAGGACATTACATAATATTCGAAGGAATAATGAGTGTGAAATTGTTTCCCACCAGAGAAAAAGTTACATTTTTTCCTTTGCTTTGTCACAGATTTGATTATCAGGGCATCACTGGTTAAGTGTGTTCCCATAGGCCTTCTATTGTCTTAGATTCTGATTTGTCAGGAGTCCTGTGCAACACTGGATAGAAACTCAGCAGGGAAGGGGACCCGCCTCTTCCTTACCCTAGTGGAGATTATACCTGCACAGGGAAAAATCATTAAACAAACAATCACCCATGGTAGGCAGACTTGAGGAAGGAATTTCCAATATTGAAGTTTTCTGAATCTTGTGGGATTCACACATTAATCAAGGATCCTGTGTTTCTCATCCACCTCACCATCAAAAAGCCAATCAATAGCCCAGATTGGAGTGGCTCAGTGGGTTGGGTATTGTTCGGCAAGGCAAAGAGTCATGAATTTGGTTCCCTGTCAGGGCACATACATGGGTTGCTCATTTGTTTTCAGGTTGGGGAGTGTATGAGAAGCAACCAATTGGTGTTTCTCTCTTACATTGATGTCTCTTTCTCTCTCTCTCCCTCCCTTCCTCTCTAAATAAATAAATAATTTTATGAAGGAAAAGTCAAACAATAAATTCCATGAATTCAGTATAGGCAAAAGAGAAGCAAAATGTCTTACCATAAAAGGAATTGCATATTATCACCATGTAGTTCTATTTAATATGTGCAAAAATAACAGATATGTCTATAAACATCATAGGAAAGAAATACAGCTAATATATTTTTAGCTGTTCTAAACTCCCCTAATTGCAGTTGAACTAATATTGGAATAGGAGAATAAGTAAAATTAGGAAATCACAGGTCCCTGAGAGAACTGTTCATATATCAATTACACCCACAGCTTCATTCCAAAAGTTACAACTTGGGGCTTTGTCCCTGGATGTCAGGCTCCTATACCTAGCTACAAAAAAGAATTTTAATTGATATGTTACAATGTCACCTCAAACCAACATTTTCAAAAACCATCTCCCTATTCTAGTCTAAAGCAGATTCTCATCACCTTTTAGGTATGCCAAAATCTTTCAAAGGACTTAAACTAAGTTTCCATTGTTCTCTGGCAGAAAGTCCCACCTCCACTGTCCACCTGCGGTGCTTCCATAGTCTGGCTCACTCTTTGACCATCTCCACCCCAGTCCTGAGAGCCCCTTCTTTAGGTCCCAGGAGCTGTTTCTCCATCACCTAAGAGCCACCACCCAAATGATCAGTCCCACACCAGGGTGTAGGATAAAGTCTTTCCCTTCTCAGGGATTGTATAGAAGTTACAGGACAGCATCAGCCATACCTGCATATTCTCTTGTTGTGTTTTTCTTTTTTAATTTTATTGGGGTAACACTGGTTTATAGCAATGTATGGTTTTCAGGTATACAGCACTATAATTAGACATCTGTATTCTCTATTGCATGCTCACCACCCAAATTCTAGTTTCTTTCCATGACCATATATTTGACTCCCTTTATCCACTTACTGATGAACATTGGTCTCAAAGATGTTTTCATGAATTTGACCCCAAGGCAAGGGAAACAAAAGTGAAAATAAATGGGTGGGACAACATCAAATTAAAAAAGCTTCTGCAAGGCAAAAGAAACTATCAACAAAACATAAAAGCAACCAACCAAATTTGGCAAGGTATTTGCAAATGGTACTTCAGATAGAGGGCTAACATCCTGCCCTGTTCTTGAGCTTTGATTTGGGTAACGGAATTTCTGACCTGTCCCTTGCATAGTTAGAGATCAAGCCAATTAGCAAGTGCACTTTTCCACGTGCTCACTCTCCTGCAAAATAGTAGCTGATGCATATATGTCCACAAGAGGTGTATAGATCAATGAAGTGGATGAAAGATTGCAGCACCCCCAGAGTGCCCTTGACTGTGGCCAGTCCTTGTCACTTAGTAGATTACTAATGGGTCTGTAAGTGTGTTAAAGATTAATCCAATAGAGATTACTAATGTGCCAAAGATTAATCCAATAAAAGTTTATTTCAGATATTGTTAATAATTATATTTCAATAATTTAGAGGATGTTTTTGCAAGAAGGAGATATTTAAAAAGGGGTATTTGGATACATTTTACACACATGTCTTTTCAATAATGAGAAAAGTGTTTTCTTAAAAAAGAGTACAAATCCAAGCTCTAGGCTCAAAAGTGTAGAGAACTATTGACTGTCTTAATTTTTTAAATTTTGATTTATGCCTACATGGATATATATTTTAATAATGTTCCTAAAACTTGTATTTTCTTCCTCTGTAGATTGGTTATCTCAGGAGATGAATGTTTGCAATTATAATTTATATGCACTATATTTAAATATATTTTATTTATATATTTGTATATAAAATGTATTAATTAATTTATATTATATATTATAGAGTAACCTTACTTATATAAATTATGTATTAAATGCAATACATTTATGTTCATGCAATAATTACATAGTTTTCTTTTTATTCTATAAATTGAAAAAGTGAGTTTATTTACACAAACCATTTTTGTCTAAAGACATTTTTCCAAATATTTAAAACAACATTTTTCTAAAAATATAGTAGCTATTCTATTCACTTAATAACACCACGTGTTTATTATTGATTTTTTATCAATATATAATTGTTATCTTTATTCTGGTTACTGTGTTTGACTTGGAAAGTATTTTGCTCTATATTAACCTTAAATCTCTATCTTCTTTTTTTTAATTTTTAAAATTTATCTTTAGAAGGGAAGGGAAGGAGAGAGGGAGAGAAATACCAATGTATGGTTGCTTCTTGTGCATCCCCTGCTGGGAACTGGCCTGCAACCCAGGCATGTGCCCTGAAGGGGAATCGAACCGCAATCTTTTGGTTCGCAGGCCTGTGTTCAATCCACCAAGCTACAGCAACCAGGGCTAAATCTCTACCTTCTTAAAACCCACAAAAAGTATTCTGTGATTATAATTTTTTAAAGGATTTTATTTATCTGTTTTTAGACAGAGGGGAAGGGAGGGAGAAAGAGACAGAAACATCAATGTGTGGTTGTCTTGAGTGTGCCCCCTACTGCGGACCTGGCTGCAATTCAGCTTTCAGTTATGTTACAAATGTTTCATTACAGCATTCCCATGTGCCCTGACTGGGAATCAAATGAACGACCCTTTGGTTCACAGGCTAGCACTCAATCCACTGAGCCACACCAGCCAGAGCTGATTATAAATTATTTTATTTATACCATATGCATGTTACTAAATCAAACAACACAAATAGCAAGACTTGGTTAAATAATAAATTGTTATGTTTGATATTTTTAGTCTAATATAAGTATCATGTTTCACTTGTCAATTCTGTTTTGGTTGCTGTTATAGGTTGAATTAGGCCCCAAAATGCATATGTTGAGATTCCAATCCTCTAGTTCCTCAGAACATGACTGTTTTGGGAGATAGCATCTTTTAAGAGAAATTAAGGGTTAAATGTGGTCATTGATTGCCCCTTAATCTTATATGAATGGTATCTTATAAGAAGAAGAGATTAGAAACCAGACAAGCACAGAGGAAAAACTATGTGGCCCTGCAGGAGAGTGGCTTCTCCAAGCAGAGAGGCCTCCAGAGAAATTTGAAGTCTGAATCCTCATCTGTTCCAGCTACCTTGTATTTTCCTCAGGTTTTTGTAGTGACTTCAATATTTAATCATATAGTACTTGAACAATAATTAAAATTTTTAAAAATGTAAAAAAATTAATCATACCATACTGTTTTTAATCTCTTCCCCCACATGATCAACAAGATCTTTTGCTGATGCCCAGTATGTGACTCAGTCCCCTTTAAGTGGCAGCACCTAAAGTATGAATGTTATTTTTGGTCTGTTCTGATTATTTAATAGTATTGTGAATTTTCACTCTATCTTCCTCCAAATATGAATTTGCCATGTTTCATTAGTGTAGCAAAAGATAACATAAGACTCATGGTCAGGTGAGATCCACCCACTGACACATGCTTACTTAAAAAATTTGAGTCGTTTTAAAATGGGAGGCTATGACCATATTCTTTGCTCACCAGAATGTGTATAATCTCTCCAGTTCTCAGCTTCAGTAGGAGTAAAGGAAATCTTTCAGTGTGACTTATAGTTCAGGAAAATGACCATAGATATTCTCCTTATGAATTATAGAGATGAGCCAGGTAGTTTTCTACTGAGATTCTTTTATTGAAGAGTCAAACCCATGTGTTTGCCCCCAGAGCTCCCAGTCTCTCTATGTGGAACCTGCTAAAGGAGAATCGGTGCCCATGAGCATCCAGGAGACTCAGCATGATCCATAATTTGCCAAATACAGTGCACCACGGCTCCTCCTACAAGAGAAATCATTTGGAAACCTTCAATAAAAGTTTCATATCTTTAGGTCAAAGGAATGCCACAAGAACACAGCATGAAAGGTGAGCAATTAACCACAAAACTTCAGCAAGGTGAGTAAAAAAAATTCCATGTGCTTCTAAAAATCAGTGCCAGGAATCAAAAAAATCTGTAAATTTCTCTTTTACCTGTCAGTACAAAATATTGTAACAAGTTTCTTGTTTTTCTAGTTTCCATATCTTCCTACTATTCACTTTCTTTCTATTTTCCTCTCTCTCTTTCCCCCTCATACTTCTTCTTGTAAAACATTGTGATTATCATGAACCATATCACTCTTATGTTTCATAACAGCATTTCACATATTTGGTAGCCAAGATGGTTTCTGGCTCTGTGAGAAAAGCTATTTCTGCAAGTAATACATTGAATTCAGCACTTACACAACAGCATTGCAAAACAGACATCTGTTGCCATACACTGCTCCATCAGATCCACAGTGAGGTCTGTATTCCATGGTGCATATAGCAGAATACTGTTTGCACTTAATCTGTCCATGTCCAAAAAAAAAAAAAAAAAAGAAAGAAAGAAAGAAAGAAAAGAAAAAAAATTCAGATCATTAAATCATAAAAAATAAAACTGTTTAAATACCTCGAGGGATCATTTAGTCCAAAATCCCATACACAAAAAGGCATTATCTGCAGTTTACATCATCTGACCCAACAATGGTAAGCCTATCATCACAGCAAGGCATCGCTTAACTCAAGTTCAGGGCTTCCCTCTCCCTCTCATGCTCTACATCTGAGTGACAAATATATCCTGTGGATTCTATCTTGTACTTAACACCCAAATTAGTCCTCTCCTCACCATACTCTCACTCACCTTATTCAGGCCTCAGTAGGTCTTGCCTACACATTTGTAATTATCTGCCAATTTATTGTCCAGCCTTCATCTGAGATTCTAGTCACCCTCCCCACTGAGGCCAGAGTGATTTTTTTTACAAACCAAATTAGAACTTGTTCTTCAACTATTTAACTCATTTCCCATCAATAGAAAGTCTCCTCTTGACCTGTGCTTATCACTCCAGGATCTTCTGCTCTGCCTTCCATATAAGGAAGGCAATTCCAGTACTGAGTTCCATGAGTGTTTCCTGCCCCCCACCATCTCTGTGCCTGGGTGGATGGTGTTTTTCTTTTTTTTACGTGGCCTTACCTGCTTCATCCATCAAATCAACTCCTTTTCCTCCTTAAAAGTTGGTTCAACTACTTTTATAAGTTTCATGATGATGTTTCTCTCTCTCTCACCCATCAAACTGGGTTAGGCACCCCTTCTTAAAATGAACTCTTTTACATGTTCACAATCTTATATTGTTTCAAACTTTATTCTAATCATTGACATCCACTCACATAGCTCTTTACCCCTAAATTGTCTCTATATTTGTTCTCAAATGTTTTTGCGTGTGCTTTAAAAAAATAACTTCCTTTATTGTTATGAGGGTGGACTTGAATCCGTAACTCCTTTAAAATCCTCTTCTTAATATGCTAATTAGTTTCAGTGTTAGAAAATAACCACATGTACATCCATCTGCTCCAGTTAAGGGCTCTCAGTAAAGTCTGAAGAGCTTTCTGAGATCTTCCTTTGGATCAATAAATTAGCCCTACTTCAGGTCATCTGTTTGGGCTATCCAGATGTCTTTGTACATAGTCACAAATAATTTTAAACTATGTATTCTAAAATAGTTTTTCTGTATGAAATTAAGGAATTACTGTAACATTTTATATAAGAATAAATAAAATATTTCCTATACTTACACATTCCCCATCATGAAGTTTTCTGAGTTGAAGTCCTCTTTCTCTGAAAGGGAAAATTTTAGTGAGTGGGTTATGCAGCTACTTGATATTTCATAAATACAGAATAAAATACAGCCACGTGTCATTCTGTGTTGTCTCACCAGGACTAAAAATGAGGAGTTCTGGTTAATATTCTACTCCAGTTGACGAATATTGACCATTAATATATTTGATAGATGATCATTTTGCAAACAAATAGAAATATAACAAAATAGATTAACACTGAAAGGAGACTGGGCAAATTTTAAAAATAGTCCATGGCTATTCAGATCAAAAAAGGAATAATATAGTGTGAAAACATTTTTGCAATTAAAAAATTAAAATAAGCTCAAATCCATCTCTGGCATTAATGGTATGATAATTTTGTTATAGTTACTTCTCCTTTATGAATATTAGATCCCTGACTTTTAAAAAAAGGATATAAGAAAATATAATCAGTAAGAACCCATAGGCCTATGGTTTTAGTAGTGTATGAGTTTGTATAGCCTACAGACTTTATTCTGAATAACAATTGATATTACACTTGACTGTAAATTTCAGAATGGCTAGGAAAGGAAAGGAAAGGAAAAGGAAAGGAAAGGAAAGAAGAAAAATGATGAGAGGAAAGATGAGCTCATTTCTATGTATTCACTAGGCATCTGCTGTTTAGCTAAGATTTGACATGTTTTATCACATTGAACTCTAAGCACTGTTATAATTTCTATCTCACAGATGAGAAGGCCAAAGTGTGTAGTGTATAGTGTATTAGCCTTTATCTGTGAATTAGTAGTCACAGATCTACTAAGTGCAATTTGGATTCTGAACCCAGATGTCGGACACCCAAACCCATGATTTGAACCACTAATCATAAAATAGTGAATTCAAATTGCTGGAATTGCTGGTAATAACCATTCTTTCATTCTCCTAGAAGCTGATGTGTTGTTTCCAGTGAGGAGTGAATATTTAATGTGTGAGACTGGTGGTGGCAGGGATTCCAATTGCTTCCAACTACTCATTTGTATGGTCATTCTCTTCCCCAGATTTTTCCAGGCAACCGCAAGAAGCAACATGAATTTTCTCTGGAGTATGAAAGAGAGATCAAAGTCTTGTAATAGTGTCCATAGCTAACAGCCTAAATAGAGATAGCTGTTTTCTGAGTTCCTATTACGTAATAAGAAGAATAATATAACACAGGGGATTCATATAACTTTGATCAAGATATGTGTTCTGCCTAAGACCAGTCTCTCTTAATGTAATGTGGAAATAAAAATGTGTATATGTAGCAGCTAGTGCCCACTGTATAATATGAATGAGAATTTGACTGGAGATATATATATCCTTAAAGATATAACTAATTTTTTGTTTTAATAAAGCAATGCCCAAAGAGTATTGACAACACATAGGATTTGTCAAGCTCTGTTTTTAAAAGCCAAGCAGATTTTGGCCAATATGGACTTTGTGATTTTTAAAAGGAAGGGAGGGCTCCAAACTGAACATTATACTTACTGTTGCATAATACAAAACATGCATTCATTACTGTAGACTTCCTCATCTGAGCCACATATTGGTTTATATATCTTTAAACATGCAATCCTGCCATGGTTTGCCATGTATTGGGAGCAGTCCACCTGTAAATTGGAAGAAAAATTGATACCCTACATTTTCTTTAATTCCATAGTCATTCTCACTTTGAAATGGTAAGGAGAGAGAAGAAAGTGGAAAGAGTGCTAGCCTCTTCAACTTTTCTGCAAACATGTCTAGAAGATCTTTTATGTACCAGGTGCTGTGCTACAAAAATTAATCAGACCTAGAATATTCCTTAAGAAAACTAAGAACCGGCTGTTTAAGAAGGAAATATTAATCTCTCCTTTTAGGGTTATAATGCCAGTCCAAAGGACTTATGAGTGTGAAAAATAACCAGAAAAGTTTAAATACTACCCCAAAGTAAAATTTACTTTATGTGCTGCTTTCAGTTTGCAAGGAGATTCCTTGTGCAACCTTTAAAAGAAACACCACCAGACAAGAAAAGCAGAAACAGTATGACCCCATGAGGAATTACTTCAATCCAACAGGAGCCAGTTAGACTATTTCCCCAGCTCCATGGGCACATTGACTCTGATTCCATTTTCACAAAGACCATACAGAGAAGGGTGTGCTCACCTGTGTTCCTCTTACTTGATTTCCAGAAGAGAGTGGAATGAGATGCAATTGGAGAGAAGGCATTCGAAAAAGAGCAAATTTCACAGTTAGAAATGCAAAGCAAAATTCATTGTTCACGGTACCTAAAACCATTTCCCAACATCCCTTGCCTAGGCCAGACCTCTCACTAGGAGAGGTCACTTCTTTATTCAGGACCAACTCGGAGTAAAGAGAGAGACCTATGTGATCTCTGGGGAGAAACATGGGGATATCTCTGGTTGTTGGAGGAAGGGCTGTTCCAGGTATCCGAGAGTTCCTGTGGGCATGCATAGTGTAGGCTTGAATGATGATCTCCCAGCTGCACAAGTGGTTTCTGAAAGGGCAAGTCAGAATCCTGAGGGATCCTGATCAAGAACTGGAAGAGCCTACAATCCTTTTATTCTTTTCCATTTCTCTTCCTCTTCGTGGAAGTCTGACCCATTCCCACTTTGTCAATCAGATGAATCCAAGTAAATGCCTTCTAAATTTTCTCCTGACTTTAGCATTCTGTAATCACTAAGAACTGAATAGATTGCATTTAACATAAAAGCAAGAGTATTTAAAAGGAATCTTAACTCACCAGGTGGAGAGCCTGCCCATGTGGTGGCTGCCAGAGCAAGAATGGCAAAAGCAGTGATGGTCTTCATCATGGTGATGAATGAGGATGCTAAGGATACACTGCTCTGAAGCAACACGTCCACAGAGAGAGACAGAGGGAGAACAGTCTGCCTAATGTATACAGATATATATATAGTGCATATATGAGGGCAGAGTCCCACCTTCATTAAAAATTGGCCTTTTTAATGATTGGCCGTTTACCCAAGCTAGGGCATTTTTTTTTTATTTGTCAAGGAAAGCTTCCTTATTATCTTGATTTATAGAGAGTTGGAACACTTACACCCTGTAAATCATCTACCAAAAGGTTTTTTTGTGCAATAATCCTTTGATTACTTAGCAAATACAATGGCATGGTTATATTTGAGAATAAATAAACCATAGATGCAGTAGAAAGAAATAAAACTAAAATGACATGTGTTGAGTTAGCAGTGAGATCTCTCAATTCTGCCCCCAATTTGTCACTAATATTTTCAGAAAAATAAGAGACACCCCATAAAATGACATGTTCAAAGGGTATAAGTTTGCATGGTGACAGATAACTATTAAAATTAATGGAGTGATCATATTTTAAGGTATGAAAATATAAAATCACTATATTACATACCTGAAACTAATATAACTAATATAATATATAGCAATTATACTTAAATAATTTTTAAAAGGTTAGATTAGATGTAAGACAGTTGAAATATAGGAAGTAAAAGCAAGGAGAACATTTCTTTTTTTTTAATATTTTATTTATTTATCTTTAGAGGGGAAGGGAAGTAGAGAGGGAGAGAAACATCAATGTGTGGTTGCCTTTTGTGCGTCCCCTGCTGGGAACTGGCCTGCAGGGAACTGGTCTGCAACCCAGGCATGTGCCCTGACTGGGAATCAAACCGCGATTGTATGGTTCGCAGGCCTGTGCTCAATCCACTAAGCTACACCAGCCGGGAAGGAGAACATTTCTTTTAATGTTCTCCTACTACTAATGTCTACTACTACTAAATGTACAGTAGCAGACAATGTAAATAGTGAGCACTGTAACACCTTGCTTTTCTAGAGCATGAAGATACTTTACTTGAAGTAAAGTCTTGTTAAATGATTAAACTGGTAAATTATGTAGACCACTATTATTGCTACTTAGCAGATGGGACAAAAACTCAGAAAGATTAAATGAATTCTATTTAGTCTCAGGTCAGAGTGGGAACTGCTAGTTCTACAAAATTCTAGCCCTTTATTTCTCTTCTAAAATACCTTTTTTTCCTGTATTAAGATATATTATTTAATAAATAAAATGGTCATTTATAATGAAAATTTTGGTTTTAGCATACTGTCTCATGCCTCTTATGAGTATAACCATGATATTCTGTTTAACACAATCCCCTGTCTATCCAAAATAACCAATATTTTTTTTATAATACAGACCAAATAACTTCCAATTACTTAGCACTTTCATTCCTATTATCTCATGTGGTCCTCATATCAACTTTCCAGAAGATAGAGTTAAGACAGAGTCAAGTCACAAAGGAAAAACTTGGAGATTGGAGAAGTTAAGCAAATTCCCCAAAGCAGTCAGCTACCAAGTGATAGAATCTTGACCAAAATTGGATCTTCTAATTTCAGATGTTATGACCTCACACTAACTTCCTGCATTTATTTCTAATCTTTTAAGGAGTATTTCTCTCATTCATACTTTCCATTTTCCAAACACTACCTCTTTCCTTTAGGTAGAGTTGCTTAATTTTAGTTTACATCATTGTGAAATTTGAATACTTATACCTCACCCATATTTCATGGCTTCATCAATGTTTGAAATATACATAACACAAGAAATGCCCTCCAGAAGCTTTTATGAATGAGATAATCTTCCCAGGTTATAGTGAAGCATCTCATTAGACCATTTTTAAGTAGGTAGAAACAAAGACAGTGGCTCAGAGGATGTTAGAGCAGGTGGCACCCTGAACAAGCATCTGGGTCTGTGGTTTTCAAACTTTTTATTGTTTTTTAATTAAGAAATGGAACATATTTTTCTTTCCAAATGTCATTTTATGGGGCCAGTAATAAATGAAACATATTTTTAAAGGCAGTGACTTGAATAGAAGCAAGACAGAGCTTAAGAATACCTGCATTATTACCACAAACCTCAAGGTTCCATGTCAATCCTTTTGAGAACTTCCAATTGAAACTTAAAAACAAACAAACAAACAAATAAAAAACAAGAAGGCAATAAAAGGGTGTGAGGACACTCAGTGAATCAGATCCCCTGAAACTGGTACAAGATTCTCCCTTCTGTGTCATATGTTCTCATACCACCACCCAGCCCTGCGTAAATATGAAATTTCTGCCTCTAATACTTCCCTAAAGAAGGTGAGAGAGGACCTGCCACTTGGGTCCTAGACTTAGTTCTCCATTTCTTATTGGACATGACCTTCTGGACACCCCATAAAACCTTCAAGGTCAACATGTTCCCCAAAAACCTTGATGCCAAATCTCATTTTTAATGGCTTCTCTTCCTATTCACTCTGCTATTTGTCAGCAGTAACCAAATCCACGAAAATTTCAGAATCTTTAGTTCTCTCATTTTCCCATTTACATGTAATCTCTCACCAACCAGATTTTAACTTGTGTGTGCCTTCCTTTGCAGGAAAAATATGTTTTATATTTTGTTGTCTTCTTTTTGTAATTCATAGTTCAAGAATATGGTCTAGAAATCCACTTCCCATGTTCCACCCTGTGGAACAAATGTTGCACACAAGGTCCCCTGTCCCCCACAGATGAAAATAAAACTACCAAGACATGATCTGCTTGAGGAGGAGAGGTGGTAAATCTCTCAAAGGAGAAGGACCAAGAGCCCCTTCCTCAATGGCTTTTATTAGGTTCATAACACACAGTAATACAGGTAAAGCTCATCAATCAATGTCAGGCAGCAAGGATCAAACAATAGATAACATTTCAAAGACATCTAAGAGCTTAATCTGAGTCAGTGTTTGTCAGGTAAGGGGGTTGCAAAAACTTTGGGAGACATACTCATTTCCTGCTCAGACTGTTATCATATGAATGAAAGCACTCTTAGCAAAGCAGGCTTCACAGGACTTTACAGATATACAGATGGCCAAGAGGTACTTGAAAAGATGCAAAATTCTTTTTTATGCCTGATCACCCTGGCACTCGCTCTAGCCTGCAGAGGACTGCACTGCCCTCCTGGTCATAGGTTTTTAGGATTAAGTAGATTAGAGCCAGGAAGCACTTTTCCCAGATGGAAATGGGGACTCAGGCTATGTCAGAATAGCTGGGGGTGAGGGTCCATCACTCCCTCTTTGCTGCAGCCCCACCGAGTCCTTCCTTGAGGGCTTCCCAAGCAATCATGTCTGGCTTAGGTTGCCCCACTTCTGAGGGGCTGTACCTGTCATTGACTAACTGATCAAGAGTTGGGGGCCAGAGATGGATGAAGCACAAGCAGCGCTCCTGCCAGGGAGATAAGCTTTGTCTCCTTAGTGGCTCACAGTCCGAAGGTCGCTCACTCAGCCTTATCTATGGGGGGTTTACAGCTCCCCAAACCAGGCAGGGTGGTTCCCAACACCTCCCTTTTTGGAAATTCCCATAGACTGGACAGATAAATAAATCCCATCAACAAACTCTAACAAGACAGTTTTTCTTTCTTCCTCTTGCCACCTACTCAGTAATTGTCTAAGGATTTAAAAACAGCATGGAGAATTATGTGAACTCAGTGTCATCACAACACATTGTCCAAATTGAAAGTCATTTCAAAGGATCCACACCCATTTCTATTACCAGCTGCTTAACAGGCTCAAGGGTTTTGCTTTAAACAAATTGATTAGCTGTGGCTCTATTTCAGCCAGCCTTTGATGTGGGCATGTTCTGGCATGACCCCCTAGTAATCCCCAATATGTTTCCATGCGTGGTAGTTGTGAGTTTTGATCAATAAATGCAGGCGTACAAAGATATTTAGTCTTTTTTGGTGCTAAATAAAATTACATTTTATTATGCCTCCCACCCCCATTTTTCTTGGGTTTGGGAAGATTTGGTCCCATTCATTACTGGAACTTATGAGGATCGAAGATGCTTAAGCCTTGCTTGGAAAATGAGAGTAGGCCCTCTGGTATGGACACTCTTGGTTGCTGCCTGTACCGTGATGGTCCATGCTGACCACAGATGGTTTCCTTCACTGAGTATGCTCCCTGATTCTATGCCACACAGGAGACAGGGCTGTTTTTGAGCCTGAATCCCTGAATCTAGGGTTTGTGAGATACTTGTTTTAGTCACACACTCAAGAGTCTTATGCCTTTTAAGGATGCAGTCCAGCAGCAGTCCCTTTCATTTTTCTTGAAAATTGTATTCCTCATGTTTTGTCTACTTTCTAAGTATTCAAGCCACAAATTGTAATATCTTGACTATAATATTTGTATGCTTTTGTCCAGTTTACCTCAAACATCCTACACTTCTTTTTCTGCTAGTTTTGTGATAGAGGGAAGGAAAGATAGAAGGGGGACTACATAATAGCATTTAAATACTGCTTTCATTGTCAATACTGTGTTATTATTTCTTGTTTGATATATTGACATTGAACTGACTATCAAAATTTCATTCTTCTTTAAAATCTTCTTTTGTGCACCCAGGTCAGTGCTAATCTGGGGTCAGGCAGCTCTACCAGAAGTACTTTAATGGGTACATAAAACTGGACTCACCTAGCTGCCTATACCTCCTCTGAGTGCACAGGAACAGCCAGTGGGTGAGGAAGGATGTGGCATTTCCTGCTTGATTCATTAATGTTTGTCCTATGATCAGAGGTTGGGATATAAGCAAATAATTTCTGTGGACACAACTTGTCAATAACTCATTTTTTGAGATCTTGGCAACAGTTCTGGCAACTTTCTCACTTAACATTTTAGGATCAAAGTGGAACCAAAGATAAGAATATAGTAAACTTGTGACTTTTCTTCTTATTGCTGTTCCTGGGACTCCTTTTGTGTGAGTTTCACCATTGGAGTTTACTGTTTATTGCTAATCCCATTACTCTACACCAAAAAAAAAAACAAACAAAAAAAAAACCTCTGCATGTGTGCTATCTCCTACCATTTGT